GGATCAGAATACTAATGCGTGGCCTGACCTTTGTGAGAGGGTGTTCGACTGAGGCTTGCCTCTTGCAGTGGATCAGAATACTTGTGCGTGGCTTGACCTTTGTGAGAGGGTGTTCGACTGAGGCTTGCCTCTGGGAGAAGATCAGGATACTCGTGCGTGGCTTGACCTTTGTGAGAGGGTGTTCGACCTTTGTGAAAGGTTGGGCCCAGTAGAAGCAAAACCTTTGCAACCCTTGGTATGGGCTTGGAAAACTCTCTGTTTTTGCAAGCCCACTAAAAATGATAACCACAAACCTAAGAAGCTAAAACATGCCGGCAGTCAAGAACCACCCCTAGCCATCCATAGAGCAACTCATGTCCTCCACGCGCGACGATCGTTTATGCCTCAGTTGCACCACGGCCAAGTGTCAATCAGCCCAGCCATCGGTGGGCAACTGGGGGTGCCAGCCCCTTGCTTCTTCCCTTGGGGGGATTTAACATGTGCTTCTTAAAACAAAAAAGCTATCCTTTGTGACAGGGTGTTCGATTTTCGAATACTTGTGCGTGGGTTGACCTTTGTGAGAGCGTGTTCGAATGAGGCTTGCCTCTTGGAGTGGATCAGAATACTTGTGCGTGGCTTGACCTTTGTGACATGGTGTTCGACTGAGGCTTGCTTCTTGGGGTGGATCAGAACACTCGCGCGTGGCTTGACTTTTGTGATTGTGCGTTCGACTGAGGCTTGCCTCTTGGAGTGGATCAGAATACTCGCGCGTGGCTTGACCTTTGTGAAAGGGTGTTGGACTGAAGCTTGCCTCTTGGAGGGGATCAGAATACTTGTGCGTGGCTTGACCTTTGTGACAGGGTGTTCGACTGAGGCTTGCCTCTTGGAGTGGATCAGAATACTTGCGCGTGGCTTGACTCTTGTGATTGCGCGTTCGACTGAGGCTTGCCTCTTGGAGTGGATCAGAATACTTGTGCGTGGCTTGACCTTTGTGAAAGGGTGTTCGACTGAAGCTTGCCTCTCGGAGGGGCTCAGAATTCTTGTGCGTGGCTTGACCTTTGTGAGAGGGTGTTCGACTGAGGCTTGCCTCTGGGAGTAGATCGGGATACTCGTGCGTGGCTTGACCTTTGTGAGAGGGTGTTCCACTGAGGCTTGCCTCTTAGAGTGGATCAGAATACTTGTGCGATGCTTGGCCTTTGTGAAAGGGTGTTCGACTGAAGCTTACCTCTGGGAGTAGATCAGGATACTCGTGCGTGGCTTGACCTTTGTGAGAGGGTGTTCGACTGAGGCTTGCCTCTTGGAGTGGATCAGAATACTTGTGCGTGGCTTGACCTTTGCGAGAGGGTGTTCGACTGAGGCTTGCCTCTTGGAGTGGATCAGAATACTTGTGCGTGGCTTGACCTTTGTGAAAAGGTGTTCGAATGAGGCTTGCCTCTTGGAGTGGATCAGAATACTTGTGCGTGGCTTGACTTTTGTGATTGTGCGTTCGACTGAGGCTTGCCTCTTGGAGTGGATCAGAATACTTGTGCTTGGCTTGACCTTTGTGAAAGGGTGTTCCACTGAAGCTTGCCTCTTGGAGTGGATCAGAATATTTGTGCGTGGCTTGACCTTTGTGACAGGGTGTTCGACTGAGGCTTGCTTCTTGGAGTGGATCAGAATACTTGTGCATGGCTTGACCTTTGTGATAGGGTGTTCGACTGAGGCTTGCCTCTTGGAGTGGATGTGAACACTTGCGCGTGGCTTGACCTTTGTGACTGAGTACTTGTGCGTGGCTTGACCTGTGCGAGAGGGTGTTCGACTGAGGCTTGCCTCTTGGAGTGGATCAGAATACTTGTGCGTGGCTTGACCTGTGTGACAGGGTGTTCGACTGTGGCTTGCCTCTTGCAGTGGATCAGAATGCTTGTGCGTGGCTTGACCTTTGTGAGAGCGTGTTCGACTGAGGCTTGCCTCTGGGAGTGGATCAGAATACTCGCGCACGGCTTGACCTTTGTGAAAGGCTGTTCGACTGAGGCTTGCCTCTGGGAGTGGATGAAAATACTTGCACGTGGCTTGACCTGTGTGAGAGCGTGTTCGACTGAGGATTGCCTCTTGGAGTGGATCAGAATGCTTGCGCGTGGCTTGACCCTTGCGAGAGGGTGTTCGACTGAGGCTTGCCTCTTGGAGTGGATCAGAATACTCGCGCGCGGCTTGACCTTTGTGAAAAGCTGTTCGACTGAGGCTTGCCTCTGGGAGTGGATGAAATACGATGACCTTTGTGAGAGGGTGTTCGACTGAGGCTTGCCTCTCATGAAGAGGGACTTGACGCGTGTGACCTTGACTCTTTGGATGGGTGCTTGACCGACATGGTGTTCGACTGAGGCTTGCCTCTTGGGGTGGATCAGAACACTCGCGCGCGGCTTGACCTTTGTGAAAAGCTGTTCGACTGAGGCTTGCCTCTGGGAGTGGATGAAAATACTTGCGCGTGGCTCGACCTTTGTGAGAGGGTGTTCGACTGAGGCTTGCCTCTTGGAGTGGATCAGAATACTTGTGTGTGGCTTGACCTTTGCGAGAGGGTATTCTAAAGCTTGCCTCTTGGAGTGGATCAGAATGCTTGCGCGTGGCTTGACCCTTGCGAGAGGGTGTTCGACTGAGGCTTGCCTCTTGGAGTGGATCAGAATACTCGCGCGCGGCTTGACCTTTGTGAAAAGCTGTTCGACTGAGGCTTGCCTCTGGGAGTGGATGAAAATACTTGCGCGTGGCTCGACCTTTGTGAGAGGGTGTTCGACTGAGGCTTGCCTCTTGGAGTGGATCAGAATACTTGTGTGTGGCTTGACCTTTGCGAGAGGGTATTCTAAAGCTTGCCTCTTGGAGTGGATCAGAATACTAACGCGTGGCCTGACCTTTGTGAGAGGGTGTTCGACTGAGGCTTGCCTCTTGCAGTGGATCAGAATACTTGTGCGTGGCTTGACCTTTGTGACATGGTGTTCGACTGAGGCTTGCCTCTTGGGGTGGATCAGAACACTCGCGCGTGGCTTGACTTTTGTGATTGTGCGTTCGACTGAGGCTTGCCTCTTGGAGCGGATCAGAATACTTGTGCGTGGCTTGACCTTTGTGAAAGGGTGTTCGACTGAAACTTGCCTCTTGGAGTGGATCAGAATACTTGTGCGTGGCTTGACCTTTGTGACAGGGTGTTCGAATGAGGCTTGCTTCTTGGAGTGGATCAGAATACGTCGCTTTGCGTTGCTTCTCTTCGGTCTGATTAGCGTCGCTTTGCGTGGTATTCACCGCGCACTCGCGCGCTTGTATGAAGTTAAGCTGTGCTTCGATGGCGCAGGCTCGCGGCCAGTCGGGGGCTGGGGTGTTTGTAGCGTCCACTCTTCAAGGGTTCTTGTTTAAAGTTGTGGGCGCCATGTCTCTCTGTTTAAACGGTCCTCATTTGGCTCAGCGCCTGCTTCACTTCTTTGTTTGGTTGACTTGTTGGTCTCAGGAGAAATCCTCGTTTACCCGAAAGCGTTAGTGGAAGATTCTTCTGAACAAATGATTCCTGGTTGCACAGCCTCACGTTCTGGTTGCAAAACTCTCTGTTTCTTATCCCTTTCTTGCCCTTTCCTATTTTCTAATTTCTCTTCACGCTGTCTACGCACAAGGCTCGATGTTATGGATTTGCGAGAAACAACGGTAATCGATAGAAGGCTCACTAATTTGGTAAACAAAACCAATCTGAACAAATAATTTCGACCGTGCCTCATTTAGGTTTGTGCCGGGCCTCGCAAACGGCCCAACCCAAAGCGCAAACGCAACAACACCTGTTGATGCTGTACTATGCAATTCGTGCCATGTTGGCTTTCTTGCCTGGCCCCAGGACTTTCGTGTGGCAACTTCTTGCCCGTGGCAGAAGATTGCTCCTGGAGCGCTGTGGCCCGTCAACTTCTTTGTGCAGATCCCCTGCATCGCTGCTCTGCAACCGAGGGCTTGCGCATGCTGACTTCTGGCTGCCGCTCGCCTTCGTTTGGTAGTGCAAGCGAACAGTCGACATCAGAGACGGTCCTGCCGCACCTGCCGGTGCCGCACAAGCGCAGATGCGTTGGCAAGCAGTTTTGCAGCCGGCGGTGGCACATGAAGTGTGGGCACCGTCAGCTAGCTGTTTGGGAAAGGTTGCAAAGCTGTGACCTGCCTTGTTTCTGGTGCATAGAAGACGGCTTCTGTCTGACATTTGCAGACCCAGTGCCCAGATCTGAGGCCATGGAATTGAGTAGGAGCGTGGCTCACGAATGTGAAGTCCTTCCATGCACCTGCAGCGTGCAAGATTGAAAATCGAAGCGGCGAAGAGAGCATGCATTGCCAGCGTTTTTCCCGTTTTTTCCTTTATATTCTTGGCAGCTTCCCCTCCCCTTTACTCCTCACCACATTAATTGTTCTCTGGTTATGGATTCTTCGTTTGCGGCCAGCATGGGGTCCGGCTTGGGGTTGCAGAGCCCAGTTCTTCAATGGATTGTGCCCTCGCTATGCCTTTTCGTTTGGGTGCGGGACGCACTAAGTGGCATCTCACATTTTTTACAATATATGTTTTGCCAGGGCCATTGGGTGACTAGAGTAAGTTTCAGCGAGTTTTCTCGTTTGTGTGGTGTAAAGGACGCATGTCACAGCCTTCAATTCTGGGCACAATTTTCACCATTTTGTAAGGGTCTTCCGGAGGCAGTCGGCTTTCCAAGCTTTCGATTGAATTGTTTTGGATGCGCTTGCCGTGGATTCTCACCCACTGCTAAACCCAGACCTTCACTGTTGTTCTGTTCGCTCTGTTTTGGCAGGGGGTGTCCCTTAACTAAAGACAACTATAAGGGGCCTTATAGTTGCAGACATGGTTCTCTGAGGATCATTACTATAGATTCCGGAAGCCATGACCATGGCGCGCATCGATTTCTCTCTCAGAGGGGAATTTCCACAAGCGTAGAGGGGTAGCTGCTTTTTCGTGGGCTTGGGATTTGACGAGAGCCACGCCTTGCTCGCCATGAGCCGCCCCCCGGGTATCGCGAAGTCCCGAGGTTCGACATCACGCAGTCCTGCAAGGCGGAGCAGCCGCTCGGCGAAAGGCTTTTTTTTCCATGCCATGCGCTCGTTTTTCTTTTGCGCAGGGCAAAGAGACGGTCCATACTCGAGGGTTCTCTTGACAAGGAGCAGGTTTTTGTTAAGCATGTTTCAGGGCAACCAGAAATCCAATCCAGCTTTCGCAGGTCCGGTTCAATTCCTGTCCAAAAAGGGAACGCCACACTAGTGAAGACCGCAATTCCATCCCGATGATTGGGGCATTCCCCAATAAAGTTGCTTGTCCCTATAATTGGTGGCTTGATTCGGTGGTTTAAAGTTTGGGCGTTGGGTGCGATTCCATACCAACTGAAACTGAGTTCAAGTCCATGGAGAACACAGCCACATCCAGGCCTCTCAAACTTCCCTTGTGACCTCAGAAGCAAACAATCATTGGAACATATTACTTACCATCAACTTCGACCCCGGGGTTCAGGCTTGTCCTCGTGAAATTCTCAAACAATCTTTCTAAGGCAGAGTTTTGCGGGCTTCGGTTCTGTATTGGTTCGGTTAGAGAGGGCTTGACACGCAATCCGCACCCCCGTAAAAGCTGGAGGGTGGCTCCATGTGCAGTTTCATGCATCTTTTGGTAAAGTAGACTAGAACCATGGAATTGGTGAATTTCCCATCTCCTTGTCATTCCCTGAGGTCCATGACCTGATACTCTTGGGGGAAGCCTAGACTTTTGGGCCAATCCGCCCAGGGAGCGAGGCGTTAGTGGGGATGATCCAGATCTGAGGATCGGCAACCGCATCACCTTCCGCTACGGCGACGGCACGGTGGCAAATGGAGGCCTGGTGCGGACGAAGCGGCGCAACAAGCCCTTCTAGCGGCTAGCGGTGTGAGTGAAGTGTTTTGAAGGCTGACACAGGGTACCCTTTTGGGGGCAGGTTTAACTGCATACCGGGCGGAGAACCCACCCATTTTGGGTGTCCTACAGAGCAAGCCCATATATTGCCTCTTACTCATGGCTTTGATTGGTCGGTGCTTGCCTGGCACTTCGCAGGACTGCCTCAAAATCGCCCCCCTTTGGCGTCCGGCGTCTCTGCCTGTGCACGCCGAGCCATGTGACGAGCTAGCTGAAACGGATGAGGATCGTTGAAGCTGCCGCAGCTGAGCATGATTTTCGAGAGAGCTTCAGCAGAATGAAAGAGGTGCGGAAGGCAAAGAGGAGGAACAAGTTGACAAAAGCTGCCATTACAAAGAAAACCAGACCACAACTACGCTACCCCAAGTGGCCTGATCACTCCATTCCTTTCAAGGAGGCGCGCAAACACAAGCCTCGTAGCAGCCTGATGTGCGTCCAATTTGGAAACGGGCAAGGCATATGCCTCCATGGCCTCGTGTGAGCGTGGCAGAAGCGTGGCGACATTGAAACTTTACATTTGGTGCTTCAAGCCCTTTGGCCAAATTGGTGTGAGATGGAAGGGAGCCATTGAATTGAAAGCCTTTGGCTAAGGGCCCAAGCGGGTCAGCGGGCGGGAGCTCATCATTTGCTACTAAGAAGTAGTAGCTCCGTGTATTTGCATCTATGGCGCATAGCCTGTCCAGTGCTACGTGCTTACAGTGCTTCGCCGGCAGTCCCTCCTGCACACTGTTTACGTCTAGAAAACGTAGAACCCTCGTTGTATTTGCGCGTTTGCACACGTTGCAACTGCTGGTTATTCTCTGCTGGTTCTATGCTGTGAGATGGGAGTGCGTTATTGTATTCAGATTGCTGCCCACGAAAGCGATTAGAAAGGATTACAAGAGATTCATATTGACGACTTGCCATCATAGTACGGTGAGGACTTCCGTTCTAGAACTACACGAGCACAAAGCAGTCCCAAAAGTGGGAGGAGAAGCTGATTCGCCACCTTGCCTCTAAGTTATGGGTCTCGCTCGGTTTTAGTGACAGGCACGTTATAGTTTGAGGGTTTGACAGGAGGCAATTCTTTGAATTTGCAGTAAATCTCGAATGCCCTCGCCCCCTATGTTTTGAAGAGTGCTGACACAGTACCAGCTTGGAAACACATTCTGGTTGGAAGCAAAAGACTTAGCTGACCTTCCTGGCCTTCTGACCTTGCTCTCGAAGGTTTTCGGCAGGTCCGGAGATGCTACGCAAGGCGGCTTACGGGATGTTGTTTTTTTTTTTTTTTCAACATAGATTGTTTTTAATGTTGTGGGGTTTGACTGGTGTGGATTGAAAGTTGAGAACCTCCGGCGTGGGTAAATAGCATTGTAGTTGTGGGAAGGTGGTTGTTGGCTGCAAGTAACGAATTCCAGCATTGCGGCTGCGGACGCGTGGCCGGCCACGTTCTTGCGTGGTCGACCTGAAGGGTCCATACCGATGATTTGGAAAGAGTTGTGAAGGGCTTTCGCTTCAAGCCTTTACAGACCCGGGGCCCTAGTGGGATTACGTTTACGTGATGCCTCTTAGTTCCCTAACTACGGGGTTTCCATCCAACAGAAGGGGAAATGTAGTCACGCCTGGGAGGGTTTACATGTTGGGTAGACCACTTTAGCACCGACTCACTTAGTCTTCCTTTATGCCGCCGTTTTGGCCCCTGGACCAGCGTTGTCTCGTTTCAACCGGAAGACTTCCCCTGACTGAGCTTGATGGTCTCTTCGTTTACACTTTGCATGACCCAAAGGGTTTGCTAAGAAACTACTGTTGCCTTCTTCCTCATTCAAGCAAAACTTGTCTTTCGCCATAGGTAACGCTCCGAGAAAGGTCAAATCATAGCTTTTCCTTTCCAGGTCCCAAGCAAGTTGTCATGGAAGGCAAACAATGGTGATTGGACAGCAGTTATTTCGGAGTCCCACCAACAATCACAGAGCCCCAAAGCAATGTCGTTTAGATCTGTGCACTTCCACGTTTCCAGGTAGCTGGGTATATTCCGAAAGTTCAGAGCGCATTGATCAGTCCTGGCAAGATGCCAGTAATTGCAACCACCGTCATGCCACTGGTTCAAAGTTTACCTTCCCATTGATTCTCGTTGTGTATGTCCCATCAACTTCAGGGATCCTTTTCTTCAGACATTGCGCAAAACTCAAGACAATGCTTTGTGAAGGAAATGGGGAATGAACCCGTTACTTCCTTCCGGAAGGCATACGAAGTGGGACAACGAAAAGCAACCAGCCTAGTTCCCTTACCCACTATTGGCTTGCTAAGGGCCAAGAGCTTATATTTACTATCTAATGATTTGCTTACCGCGCAACAGGGAGCCCCAGTAACATAATATGGATGTCGTGTTTTGCGGGTTCCCCCTTTTGGTTGGTTGTATAGCAAGGGAGTCCAAGAGGAAAACACTTGTTGGCGCCCGGATTCAGAGACAAACACATATGACCGGAATCTCCAAGGATCGCCTGACCGGTGCCTTTCGAACGGCGGGAGCCACTTTTCCGATGAAAAACCATCCCTTCTGTTTCTTTGCTACTGATCGGGTTTCCTGTTTCTACCGCACGAATCACGCGGCGTTGTGTCAGATTAACATGTTCGGCAAGCCATCGTCAGGCTCCTTCTATGACACGGTGCGCATCGGCGATCTTGAGGCAGTGGAAACAAAGCTTGGAGAGAGTCTCAGCTTGAAAGGTCTTGCTGGGGAAATCCGGGTGGATCTTCCCGGAGGGAACCTACTGAACCCCCCGGATGGCAAGTAAACCTGTTCCCGAAGTCTCCAACATTACATACTCTTGGGGGGTAAATGCGAAACAGAACCCGGGCACTGTGTTTTGTGTACGCCAGAGTATGATTCAAGTTTGAACCCACGTTTTGGTGGTGATTAACAACGTGGCACCCAGAGGCCAGCCTTTCAACCTTGGAATATCCCAGTCAAGCAAAGTGTTTGGCTCGGAAGTACTTGCTCCGTACTTGTGGTTTTGGTGGACATCATACAAGTTGCCACATCGCACAATTTGAGGAACTTGGACCACTGAAGTTGCTGAACACGCGGTGCAGCTTACTCAACGAAGGGTTTCAGGGCCACGAAATGGGAACCTTCTCAGCCATTTTCGCACAACGTCGGTTGGCTGGGCAGATCCTGTCAGGCGAAGAGGCAGTTGCTCATCCAAGTGGACGACATGGAATCGGCGCCTCGGTTTTGTAAGGCCGAACCCCCCCTTTCCTTCCCCACCTGAACCCCTAACCCTGCTCCTCTTGGTTTTCCCAGAAGAAAGACCCTAGGCGCCATGTTAAGGCGGGCCAGCTCGGGGGAGGCGTTGAGGGAAGGAGTTAGATCTAAAAAGTCGGATCATCCATACCTGCGAATCCCATGTGCGGATAAAAAGAAGACAACAAAAACACATGCCTTGGAGCAAACGCACCAGATGTTGGTCGTTCGGATTCAAGATCGTTGCGGAATCGGTTAACCTGTCCGCCTCTTTCTGTTTGTTTCCGCCTTTGTTTGGCTTTTTCTTAAGACGCACAAACTCCAGAAAAGGTCGAAATTCGGAAACATGCCGCTTGAAACTTGCCTTCTTATTCACAAAAAGACGTACCTCCCTTGAAGAAATCAGCCGCAAGCAACAAGTGTAGAAGGATGTAGAAGGTCTCTTTCTGTTCAACTTACAGTCTGTGGTAAACACGAGCACGCCAACCCCTGCCTTTCCTCAATCCGACAGGCTCAACCTTGCTCAAAAGTGTAGGACTCTTGGACAGGTGTTGATCTTTCTTCAACTTGAAAAGTGACCTCGGTGTTATTTGGGGGTCGCTGCTCGACCGCAGAGACCCGCGCTCTCACACCAGGACACCCCTGTAATGGAATCTGAGTTGTCCTTTTGTGAAGGCTGAACTGAGTGGTTGACTGACCAACACAAACCTCCCCGCAGGTGGATTGGGAAAATCTGATCTGGGTACGGGTCAAAATTAAACCACCAGACAAACCGCGGGTTTTAGTCCACGTTTCCACTTACCAGGGTTCCATTTTGGGTACCTATTCTGATCCACAGCCATCTCTCGCCCAGGACACCCACATGAAGTCGGATGGGATCTTGGGCCTGGCACACCACTACGCCTCTGATCGGTCCTTGCGCGGTGAGACCTTTGTGTCCACGCTCTTCAGGCCTTTCGGTTTCTCGGTGCGTTCATGGTCAATCGGTTGTGATGCCGTTGCTCTTAGTTGGTCTAGGCCCCCCAGTAGTGCCGTTCTCTCCCCTTTTTTGGGGGAGGATTCCCCTACTAAAATAGACCACAAAAACACAGGGTACCCTTATTCACCTCTCTACTGGAGGACCTAGTGGTGCATTTGAACCCATGGGTCTTGTAACCCCTAACTTCCAAACCGCCAACACAAATCACCAATCAGAGGGACGCTGATTGGATGAATTGTATTGGAGGGTACCCGCTTTGGGGGGTGGTGCAAAGGGAAACCAACTGGAGCAAGTTTACAGGTGACCTGGAACCAGCCTCACAAGACGTGCTGGCAACCTCCCATTTCAAGTTTGCCTTTTATATTCGATGGCAACCCTTGAAAGACTTGGGCCAAAGAAGATAGCCATCATTTCGAGGGTTCCGAGACAGCGCCTGCTGCAAGTAGCTTCCTGTAGATAATATGCTTTGTGCTGGAATTATGTGTTTCGTGCTTTTGCTGCCTGATGGTTTTCACAGAATTAGTCATGACTGGTCGAGACTTGGTATTTGATTTTGGAGCGGCAATCTCTGTGAACTGGAAACATGAATGTTGCTCGGCAGAGTGTAAATGTCAAGCCCCCTCTCGGGGGCAACGTTTCTGGAGGCGTCAACCTTACACCGACGTCATAAAAAGCCCCGCTGAGGCTTCTGATTGTTGGGCCATCAAAATGGGCTGTTTTCAGTTAGGTTTTGACACATGGGCTGAGGCATTCCTGAGGTCTTGGGTGAACTTGGAGTTTGATATGTTTTCAGAGGGTACCTTCCTGAGGTTACTTGAATGTCAGGGAACCGAGGCCAAATCGCCCATTTTGGTTTGAGTGCGTGTGTCTGTGCGTGTGTGTGTGTGTGTCTTTTTGAGTGTCCTTGAGCTTGGTTGAAAGGGTCATCGAAATCAACACCACAACTTTGCGGGACCTTTGAGGAAGTCGGAGCACAGTCTCTTGTCCCAAACAGCAGACCTCTTTGAAGCGAGTTTGGAGCTTGATACCCGACGATACTCCAGTGAGTTCTAGGCCAGGAGGTGACCAGTTTTGCATTCCGTTCCTTAGACTGGATCTCTCAATTGAGGGAAGCCAGGTTTAGATTCGGTATCCTTCGCAAAAGTGCTTCAGTTTCTTTTTGCTCGGACCAAGTTTCATCATCCTAAAAGTGGTCCGGTTAGATGTCCCGGCTCTTGTACAACCCCTGCAGGCTAAAATGAAACCCAAACAAAAGATTCCCCAAAAGGAGATCCCCCTAGAAATGGCGGGGGGATGTTTTAGGTTCCATGTTCCCTGCAGAGTACAAGGGTGAAGCTGGAGGCCGTGGAAATCTCATCCAGGGTGTCAACATCATAACCCGTTGCTACAAGTCGGCACCTTGGGCGCCAATTCAAGAATTCCCAGTGGCATCCTCAGGGAGATTTCATGAATCACCAGTTCCTAGTGGCATCGCAGAAATTGTCATCCCCACCCGAAACGTTGAGAACCACAAAGACCTCCCCCAGGAGCAACGCCTCGCCAGGGAGCATCCGAACCTCCCGGCGCAGTTCTCCTTCTACTTGACGGGGCGCGGTGCCAGCGACCATGAGCCTGGCTCCCGGCTGAGGGGAAACCAGCCGTTCTGTGCTGGTGTCCCGTGGGTTTTGTCAAACCCAGTAAGAGATACGAGTAAATGAAACAAAAACAGGTACATACCCGCAACTGTATACCCCACTGGAAGGGTTTGGGGGTAGTGGTTGGGAAGTAGAGCCCTAGCGACATGGGCCAAACAAAGTGTTGGTGGAAGTTCTACCCTAAGACGTTGTAGCTACTCTGCGAGCACATCCCAAGCAGAATCGGGAACCTGAACCTGAACCATTGCAGTTCCTGCAGTCTGAAAACAGCCTCCGTCATTTGGCCGGGTTGAACTATTTGCCCTTTCCCAGAAAAGCTCGGAAGATTTGGCCGCGCGTCCAGGGCCTTCCCTGTCCGATTGTGTCCAATGGTGCTTTTGTTCCTGGGTTTCCCTCACAAACCAAAAGGCATCCTGAAAAACAGGCAGTCCCATCTCTGAGCTCCGCGGATGCTGCCCTGGTTTTCGCCCCGCTTCTCATCGGCAAGAGTCGATGGTTGGCGTGTTTGGCTGGGAAGAGCCAAATGTGATCATCGGTGGAAGGTTAGCGAAGGCGTGGGGACGGAACAAGAACGCATCCACCCGTTTGCCTAGATGTCAACGACCAACGACTGGAAAGGTGATGAATTTGGGCCCAACATGGCCCAACACTTTCCCCCGCATAGAAGTGATCACCCCTCCACCCCACTTTCCGGTAAGAGACGCTTGATGCTTGAATTTGGTATTCAACACTTCATGGTGACCGCGACTCTCGCGCCTCTGGGGATAAGCCAGATGAGGAGCCAAGTTGTGTTTGACACATTTCCACATGTCGTGTACAGATGTGGCAGTTTCGCTGGGAAGCATTGATCTTTCGATGTCCTGCCATAGTTCCAATCTTTAAACATCACCCGACCACCAAGAGCAAGCTCAACCTTGAAGCAATCACTCAAGGAGAACTATATGGGATAATACAGCGCAGCATGTTCCCCTTGCGACGTTTAATTTGATGCTATACATATTTACGGATATCCTCATTGTATATATTGTTCATCCCCAACACGAAGCCAACAAGGGATTGGTGACGTTCAAGAACCCATTTGATCCAGATCGAAAGGGTTGCGCCAAACCTTATGACCTAGCCACGCACGAATTGAACAGTGGTACCGGTACCCTGCAAATTAACGGTGGATTCCAAGAAAACCAGTTTTGGGGAATCCGAATCTTCCGACCAAGTTTCTGTATGTCGAAGGTCCCAGCTGGTGTTCGGTGAGCCGGACCTCACGAGCCACTCCAAGGAGAGGGGGTAGTGTGAAGTTCCATGAGCATGGCTATGTCGAGGCAAGGTGAAGAGCTGGTCCCAAATTGCCACAAGGTGAGCCCTTGAGGCCTGTGGTCTGGGGCCGCCTTGAGCTTTTCTCCTAGTTTTCTGGTTGCTGGTTCACCCATAAAATTTCAAGCATGGAATGGGAAACCACATGTGGATGGAGATTAGTAGATCTTTTACCGGGCTGTTTTTTTCTCCTAGGCTTGATTCACTATTGCTTGGGAGTGAGGCAGGGGAGAAGAGGTCATGCCCAATTGCTCGGTGGGGCAATTCTGATTGCGGGGCGCTTTCGTGTTGCTCCCTTTTTTTGTTCTTGGCCCGGGAGCTTCGCTTCAAAATCAAACACCCCCCTGGCCAGCGGCTGGGGGGCCCACTGCCAATTTTCTTGCCACGTGGTCAAGCCTTTGTACAAGATTGTACAAGCCTTCCGTCACCTTGACTTCTGACGAAGGCAAACTCACCCCTCCTCCACCCCCAGATGAACCAGGAACGGAAGCCCGTCAGCTGTTTGTGCCATAGCTCAAAGGCAGCCGGGGTCAATTCCGGAAACCGTCACCAGCCATGCGGACTCTGGAAATATGCAAGCTTCGTGCGCCTGCGCCATGCCCCCAGACTCTATTCCGTGGGTCTCAGTTGGATGTTGTTTGTGGGGTGGGTCCTCTGGTCGTGGGGGTCTAGAAGTCAAGATCATCTTCAACGTGAAGCAACAAGCTGTTGGGTTTGACTGTCCACCGTCCCACCTTTTCTCAAGCATGGCAGGTGTCCTACCCAAAGGCTTGATTTTTTGCTGGTGTCAAAGACCAAGCCAGCATTATTGATTGGGGAGGGGCATGGTGTGCCAACCCAAACTCCCCTTTGCCCATGGCCCCACATTTGGACCTGTCTCATAGAACTGGGACCCTCCAAAGGCTTCCCGTTGAAACCAACCAACAGGGCTACCTCACGAGAGTGACACACCCATTTGTGAGGTTTGACCAAGACCTACATGGTGACTGTTGATTTGTTTGTTCGCAGGAGAGCAGCTTCCGCTATGGCAAGGCCAGTCCCGCTCGACAGGTCGTTTGGTGCCGATGTGACGGACATTTCTGAAAGAGCCACTGGTAGCTAACGTTTTGTGCCACCAAAGAAAGCCTGTTTGGTTGATGCACTTTCAGGTGACCAGCATGCAGGAGGCGTCACAGCCCGAAAAGGCCAAGACAGTGCAACAGGACCGCCGTTTTAAGCAGCTGTTTAGGGAAGGTGCCTGGTACGTTGCTGGAAGGAAGACAGTCCCGACAGCAAGCACCTGGGTGAAGCGTTTTCTCTGCTCTCATGAAACGAGGGGTGTCAAACGTCATGAGGCTTGCTTTCCATTTAAATGGCTGTGGGACAAAAATGCATACCAAAAATGGAACCCTGGCCTGGTGAATGGAACCAAAGACAAAAACCTGCAGTCCCTGGTGGTTTTGTTTTGACCGATGCCCAAATGGCGACTTTCCCTCCCAAAAGGGGGATTCGCCGTGGGCAAATTCCGACTGCCAGGGCCAGTACATGTCCACCACGGACCTTTGGCTCACCAGCGTGTGGTCTATTGGCTGGGGCGACACAGGCCGATCAAGCGCAAGGGCGGAACAAGAACTCGCTTCGGATACCAAGCGAAATGCCGGGACAAGGTTGCCCTGGTTTAACTCGCCGTTTTGCCCTGAAGGCCATTTTCGGTTTCCATCATATAGTTCTGAACCATCCGAAAGTGACCTTTCTGCCATGTCAGCAGGCCCAGTTCAGACTGCCCTTTCCGTGATTTTGTGTTTGGCTTGGGCATGTGCAGGACTCTGATTTCTGGTCCGAAAAAGCGTGGTTGGACCCCGCTGGACAAGTCAGCGTTTTTGCGGTTTGCCCTGACCTGTCGGTTTGCGCCAACGACAACCAGGCGACCAGTTGGCTGAGTCTGGCCACAACATTCAATTCGCCTCAAAACGCATGCGGTCAAAACACCCCTTCGTTCGACCACGTATAAAAATCCGCTTGAAAAGTGGATATGAATGCCCGATCCCCACCTACAACGCACCCACCTGTTGAATTTCACACCATGGGCAGGGAAGTCTGGACAAGTTGGGATCTTACCATGATCAGGAGTTTGAGCATGCGCTTGACTTGTTCAAGCAAACGCGGCTTCGGCCTGCAAAAGGCCCACAGCAGAAGCAATGGAAAACCCTTTCTTCCCCCTTCCCGCAGACTAAATGTTGGGAAAAAGTTGGAAGCTTGCTTATGTACCGCTTTTTAGTGGAACAGAGTGCGTTTACTGCAGCTGGCTGATGGCAACGGCGCACCTGGAATCCAAGTTTGTTGTTTGACGGCTGCGATTTATGCAGGCTTTGTTTGCGCAGCTGCATCAACTGTGTGGATTTCATTTGCCAGACCTTGTGCCCCATCAGGAGGTTTCGCTTGCTGCAGATCTTGTGCCCATGCAAGTTGCAAGTCTCTTTTCAGCGCCTGTTGGTACCATGCACCCATGCACAAGGCTTGCGTCACCGGCCAAGTAAAACCATTTTTCCAGCAGCGTGATGAGGAGATTAGGGGAACCCCAGCAGCTTGCTGTGCCTTTGGGCTGTTCGTTGTTCAACTGTGGGTTGGGTTTCCAATCTCAGGTTCCCGTAAGTGCCGGTTTGAATTGGTGGGAGCGGGTCCGCTGATCCGACGGTCCACTGACCCGGTGGTACGATCCGCTGGTCCATTGGCTCGGCCGGGCGATGATAGGTGGTAGGAGCTGCAGGTCCGAACCCCTGGTTCTTGTAGGATACATGGGAAACCACGCAACACACCATTCCAAGCCAAGCCAAATAAAGGAAAGCTGATACCATCCCACTGGAGCGGGAGCCCATTCCAAAAGGAAATGAGTCTTTCAGAGAGGGTCTGTCAAGCCATGTTTGTGGGAGGAGTTACACTACATGCAAGGTTCCAACTGTGATCCCACAAGCAGAGCAAGGCACACCAGGACCCCTGTGGCCCTTTGGATCAAACACTTTGTGCCAATCTCTTCTGGCCTTGTCTGTAAAATTTATGTATATAGCCATTCTACCATACATGCCTGTTTTGCGGTGGATCTGGAAAAAGTGAGAGATTTGTGGCCAAACTGCTCCGGAGGAAGACTCACTTGACAACCAAAAAGGACCCCGAAGAAGGTCCGATGTCTCGAAAGTCCAAAGGTACAGTGACTAACTAATACAGCTCGGGTTTTCTCCCTTCCTTTTTTAAGGGTATACAAAGTGTAGCTATGGAATACAATCTGAACATCTTGCTTCAGGGGTCAGATCATTCTCCTCTGATCGTGACTTCACTTTGCTGTCAAGTACACAACTCCGCTAGTTCTTCGGGTCCCCCAGCCACTACCAGCTCTCCCCTTTTGAACATCACGCAGGTGTGGAGGTCACCTTCCCCGACCGGGGCACGCCGGGCGCCCCTGGTTCGGTGAAAAGCCCGGGTTTCTCCAAGCGGGACGTGTGCGTCTTTTTGAGGGTGCCTTTGCAAGGTGGGTTGGGGAGACCAAAGGAGAAAAGAAGCCATTTGGAGGCTTCCCCTATGTTAACACATACCTGTTTGCTGGCAACCAGGGGAGGGCATCAGGGTAGTAGAACGAGGCGGCCTAGCCCGGTGCGTTTCAGGAGGTCGACTCTTGAGCACTTTGTTTGTGGTTTGTGCGAGAACTAGCCGGAACTTTATTCATGCCTAGAGACTTCGTTGCATGCTTCGCTCTCCAGAATCTGTCGGATCCGATGCCTTTTTGGACGTAGTGGACCAATCTTGGGTGATTGCTTGCCCAGACCTGCAGTGGTGCCAATTTTTCGTTTTGCTGGGCACCCTGCAACCGATAGCCAAAAAAGCAGGGTGCCTTTCCGAGAGCCACTCCGGGAAAGCATAGCGAAAGCATAGCTTCAAGAGACGTGGGGGTAACTTTGAAACTGCTTGGCCGCAGAAAATGTCAGTCTGGAGTCATTCAATTGACGGTTCCTAGCCCTACCCTTTAGATAGCGTGGCTCCCCCGGTTGTCAAGGCCCCCCAAAAGAGGGGACCCATGCCCCTATTGGAATTGGGATTATGGGCCCTTTTGTGGGGCGATTGACAGCAACCACGTACACGTAACACACCTTATGCTTGAATTTGATAGCAGGAGCCCTCTCAGGTATAGGCTAAAGATTCTACAGCATGAAGGCAACTGCACCCCTTGGAGTTGCCTCAAAGACCAGTCAAACAATTATATTGGCTCCCTTGTTTTCCAGAAACCAGTTTTCCACTGGTCTGTGGAACACGTTTTGTTCTTTTGCCATGGGTTTTGGGGAGACTGGTTCGGTTCCAAGCTAATCCCTTCAACTTCAGCATGGGATCAACGAATCAGCGGGATTTGAAAGGCTTTTGTCCCAATATGTGTGGTTTCCCTCGGGATTCCTTTTAAAGATCCCCAGCCACTGCACATTACTTGCAATACTTAGCGTCTAGCACGCCATGTTGCAAAGGTCCGAAAAGGTGGCTTCAGCTTCCTTCTGCGGATTGCACCCGAACACGTGCAACCCTCAACAAACTTCTTGTCAGCGAGGCTTGGGGCCCCGGCCCTCATCGACTCGGGCTCCTCTTTGCTGGTGGGACCGACCGGGGGGGGGGGTTCGCTGCGGAGCAACCCAGAGAGAATCAAGTGGGGTCCCTAGATCAGACGGGTGGTTTGAAATGGTGGACCCTTTTGGGTGGTTTTGACAGGGGAACCAAAAGGCAAGAACTCTCTTCGATCCCCTATTTTGAGAACCACCCATATCTGTCCCTGCTAGGTGGTTCTCAACATTTGGGCCCTTCCAAAGTGAGCCGCCTTTGGGTGGGGTGACGGTTCAAGGGAACATGGGTGTGTCTCGTTGAGAGAGTTGCTCCTGCGGTTACTTTAGGGAAGCCAACCGCAATTCATGCTCGGAGTGTCCCTGTTCGGGGCTCGGATTTGACCAGCCAGTGTCTGGTTGCCGAAAGCATCATTGAGTGGAGTGGCCTTTCAACAGGATGGTAGTTTTCCAAAGCTCTCATGTGCACTTCCGTGATTGCTCTAAAAATGGCTTTAGGGACATATGATGCCAACTCAAACCTGGCAACCGGCAATCGGCCCACAGACAGACCATCTCTTGTCTCACTCCCCGAGTGCCTGAACTTTACCATTTTTGTGAAGACCTGTTGGATGAATTTCTATCGCAAAGCTCGGACGTTTTTCGGGCTCAAGCCACTCGGCAAGCTGTCACTTTGGGGGGCATCTTCGACGGTTGTCAAAAATATGGCCGCTTTTTGAACACTGGCGCCCCTTGTGCCGCGTTTAAAAGGGCCCTACAGACAGATCAGGTCATTGAGCCGGGCGTTTATGATCGGCTCATCGGTGAGCTGAGATGGCCACTCGGATTGACCGGAAAGCCGCCGAGTCGGAAACGCGTTCGGGCAAAATCCGAAGGCTTGGCAGTTCTGTTGGGGATTGGTTGTGGAGAAAACTGGGTAGGACCAATGTTTGTGATACAAAGGCAAGCTTCTTTCAAGTGATGAAGTAGTCATGCCGATGGCCACTTTGATATCTCAGCAAGGGTGATCTTTGACAACCATGACCCTATCTTATTGTTGTCATATGGATTTGGGTGCACATTCGCCTCCCACCAACAAGCTTGTTGGAAGACGAGGACTTGCATCATGGGCGCGTATTTGTAATTCTGGAACAAAGCCACTGATTGAATCCGTGCTCTGCAAGTTTCCCGCGTCCCAAGCTTGCGGGCTTACTTCATGAGTGTGCCGAGTGCTAGGCTGTACCCGAAATGTCCGATCTTTCAATCAATCCATCCAGTGTGCGGCTCCCTTTTCCGAGGCCATGCCGCACAAAAAGGAAAGGGTTAACCTTGCTTTTGGGAATTTCCTAAGCGTCAGGGCCCTGCCCGTTGCTTGGGAAGCTTTGTTCTAGGTTGCCACAAGGGAACTCCCCTTAAAGTCGACGGATTGTCATGATTGGCTGTGAAACCCACTTTGGTATCACAGCGAGAACCATTTTTCGAAACTCTTTTGACACATTTCAACGAACTTCCCTTAGGGAATCCAATTTTTACCGAGAGTGCCCAGGGACAACTTTGTGTTTTACAAGAAGGCTTTGATTTTGTTTTCGGAAACCCTGCCATGGTTGGTGGACAAATCCCCGCATGAATGATGTCCACCAAGGGTCACCAACTAAAGTTCATACAAACAAGTTGAGTGATTTGCGCACGAGTCGGCCCTCATGTGCCAGAGCTTTTGCCCAGGCGCTTCAACAATTGCCGGAATATGCCGGAGCAGCGGGGCCGGCACGTTCAGATCTCACTTGCTTCGCAGTTCACCTCCAGAAACGTCTTGGGTTCCTCATTGGATTGGTCAGCACACACGTCTTGTGGCCTCGATCAGGCTTCGAGGGTAACCCGCTTTTTTGGGGGCGTTACAGGGCAGCCAAGCGGAATCCCACGAGTTTGGGTACCTAAACCAGACAACCAATATAACTACGCAAAATCTGTCCCTGACTTGCAAGCCTGGGGTGAGACATGTTGGTGTTGTTGTTTGGTTTGATTGTTGGCGCTGTTTGTTGCGCTTGTAGGTGACCACAAATCACACCGGAGGAAACCACAACAAGAAGTTGGTTGGGCCCATTCACCCACTGCCGTGCCTTCTCAAGTAATGAGTTCGGGTCATTAGAAGTTTCGCATGCGCCGCTGGAAGTTGAGGCAGCTGGCCAGAAAATATACACCCCCAAAAAGACGCCTGATCAATATCGCACATCTCAACATGGGTGCATGGGTTCTATCGCAGCAGCTCTACTTGGCAGATCAGGGGGCTTAACCCATGGCCCGTGGACTTGGCAGTTCCCAGACATGCGGCGGGATTTATGACGTAGCCCGGTCACATTCAGCCGACATCGCTTGTAGCAACCCACCCAACCCCAAGGGTGCCAAGTACCTTCTTTAAGGAACTTTGACCCTTTCTACCCCAAAAAACCATCGACTCCTTTTGGAAAGGATTAAGCCGCTGAGGGGAGACGACCAAAGCGCGGGGGTGCGCTTCACTTTGCCAGGCAGATCCTCAGCTGTGAATGCCCGCCAGCAAATGACCTGAGCAGGCCTGGGAGTCTGGCTGATGTCGATTTTGTGCAGTGTAGTTTAAATCATATTGGGGGTTGGTGGGGGACTACCCCACGTTGGAGCTACGCGAATGCACATTGAGTAGTATGATGCGTCATTTGTATGGCTGTGTGTGTTGTGGAAATCACTCCGACAAGGCTGTTCCCCGACAAACCTGCCGGGAAGCTTGATTTCTAGGTAAGTCATTGGCTGGTCTTTTTTGGTGTGACCTTAGCCCCATTAGACCTTTGGGTAAATGGCTTTGCATTTGAACCTACAAACGATAGACCTGTTGCTTCGGTCGCAAGAGCAAGTCAGAACTGAGGGCACACTTCAACCTAGGATATCGCACCTGAACAGGGCGCCGCAAGCCCCAAGAGAATGGGTGCCTTTGCCGCTCCGCCCAAATCAAACGAAGAACCGCATGGCCAGTGATTCCATTGACCTGTGTGGGTATTTCCAGGCGGGGGGGCGTGTTCCTTTTGGTTTAAAAGGGGTGGTTCATGATTACCTAATTACTATGCAGGTAAGCGGAATCACAGGCTGGGACACTGCATCGGTGGTTGGGAACCCTGACCGTGTCCTGAACCGGTTTTGATAGGTTGCCGGCTTTGGTTCAAAGCTCCCAAATTGCAAACCTATTCTTGACGTTTGAGTGTTTTCATAGAGACCCCATTATATTTGTGGGACATGGGTGGTCACGGGATACTTCTGAATTTGATTCAACTTTGAGAGCAACAGGAAATTGGAGCAAACCCTCCATCCACTTTCTTTGTCAAGGTACGAAGGGCACATGGATTGACCCAGAACTGGATATGAACCAGGCGTCCGTGGCTTTGAGATTGAGATTGTTGGTGAGCAAAGGGTGGGATACCATGAAATCACTTCAAATCGATGTGAAAATTCCGCCAAGGAAGGCTTTTGCACTTGGGAAAGGCTTGCAGAGTTCATAGACCAATCCCAATTCAGGGGTCTTTCAATGCCGGGTTTGCAGAAAAACACCAACGGGGTCCGCGTTTGAGTGGCAAGAAGCATTGGCTATGGAGATTCCGCACAAGCTTTTAGGTGGCACCTACACCACACCGAAAGGGGCCCATGCTTTTGACCCCTCGATGTTCGATGCCCGCTTGGGCTGTTGCCTTCCCTTGAACAGCACCACGCGTTTTCCAAGCCTGTTGTTCGACAAACAAAGGTTGTTTGACCTTTGTTTTGTCGAACAACTCCTGAGGGGTCCGTGTAAGTGGTCCTTGGCATGGTGCCCACGTAATTGGGCGATGATGAAATCACACCTTGTTGAAACCTGTCGTAGTTGGGTCCCTTTGGTGTACGCCTGACCTTAGGGCACTGACTCAAAACCTCATGGCTGGGCAAAGTGGCATTAGACAAGGAAACAAAGGACCCTTGAAACTAAAGAAGTGTAGCGAAAGATGCCTGAGCAAGTGTCCGCAAGCCACTGAACCCGCTTAGGATACCACAGCTGGTGATCAATGTCATCGACGAGCATGTGGATGCCTCAGAGACCGTGGAAAGTCACATCGCTTAATCGAGTTCTGCGTGACACTTGAGCGCTTGGGCAGATCTTTGAAGAGCCACTGGTGACCTGTTGTGACCTTCGGGCACGAAAGACTGTTGCCAACCAGCACCCGTGTCCCAACCAGTGCTTTTTGAATACTTGGGATTTTGGAGGGAAAAACAGTTGGGACCCTTTGGCCAATCCACTGAGATAGGACCCCAGCACTCTGTGTCAACCGAGGCTTAGCGTCTCCATAGTTGTGGTTTCCTGTTGGTTTTACTTCCGATTCCAACCATAGGAGATGAAAACCCGGTTCAAATCATACACGGTACCCAAACCAGCATGTGAATGTTTAGTACACCTAGGTAAAGACAAAGACACAGCTGCGTTGCAAGTGTCACACGGAGTTGCCCACCCCCATGCAGGAAAAGCAACAAGCACGCTGTGGACTTCGCACTGAGCAATTTAAAGGCATGTTTTTGGCCTACCTTTGAAAAAGATACAAAGAGAGAAGTAACATCAGTATAGGGACAACATGGACAACATCATTACTATAGCAGTATACTGCCACAATTGTGACTAAATGTGTAACACTTGTTCTGAACCATCCACTCAAGAAGTCAGCCCACCCAATGGTTCCCGGTGGTTCTCCTTGTTTTGGAAGCGGCGCCCCTTTGCCCCAGTCCACTGCACCTGGGGTCTGAGACTTGATCATGTTTCCTTGCGTGCCGCAAGGACGAGCAGTTCAGCTTGTGCATGTCCCCCGATGAGTACATCTTGGAGTCCGTAGATCCGCTGACTGGAAGGAGCAGTTTTCAAATGCCTCTCGGCGGGTTGCCCGCTTCATGTGCTCTTGTTGGTTGCTGTTTTGTTTGTTGGGGGGATTTCGCTTTCCACTTTGTAAAGTCAAGCAACAAACGTCGCGTTCCTTGTGTTTCGAGGTGAAGCTGCCAAATTTCACGAACGCGGGAACCACCGTCGTTGATTTTTTTGAGGGAAGTTTCTTGGAGCTGTGTAGATCAACCCATGGACCGCCGCTTGAAAGCTCAAAGATCTCACATTCGCCAGAAGAAGACCTCCCAACTCTCTGTGATCTTTCATGTTTTGGCCCCCTTTCTGGGGTTGACAAGCCTATGTGGGTATGTGTCAAACTATCAACATGGGGGATGTCTCCAAAGAAAAGCTAACAAAGAGCAAACATGGAGTTTTTGTTTTGGTATCCCTTCAACCCAGCTCCCCAAAACAGATACCAGAAAGCAACACACACACACACACAAGCAGCGCAAAACAACTATCCGGAAGCAACACACAGCCACATGAGCAGCGCCAACAACCCTGTTGGACATTCAATGTAGGTGTTTCCACCTGGCTGTGGGTCAAAACCAATGGTACCATTTTGGGGTATGTGCACCACCCATTTTAGTCTATTTTAGGGGGGATTGGGATGTTCACTGGGGGTACGGGCTTTTGACCCATGGCGACCTGGACCTATTTTGGAACCAGTCAGCTCGTCAGCTCGGATTCATTTGTTGCAGGACCTCCTGCGTACCTTCCATCCAGCGGGGCTCCATCAGCCAGCCGGTACCGCTGATCTTCGGCATGACGTTCCTCAGAGTACAAGAAAGGGATATCCTGAGCCTCCTGAGCGGTTGGTTTTTGCACCCAACCACTGTTGCCCCATCTGCAAACCCAATGATGTATTCTAAAAAACAAACCCACCTCCCCCTCTCTTGCTTCAAGGTATTCTGTATTTTGGGAGCACCACAGATGTGGGCCACGTTCAGGGGCTGATCATTACACACCTCATTTTCCCCCTCTTGCCAAGCCAACTTTGCAACTTGTGCGATACTCAATTGTGGGCCTAGAGTCTGTGTTCGCGCAAAGCCCACGCTGGGCTTTTCTAAGCGAGCAGCGAATTGTAGCCAACGAAAGGGTAGCAAGCCCCGCACATCCCAAGGTGCTTGCTTGCTTGCTTGCTTGCTTGCTTGCTTGCTTGCTTGCTTGCTTGCTTGCTGGTTGGTTGGTTGGTTGATTGATTGATTGATTGATTGATTGATTGATTGGTTGGGTTGGTTGGTTGGTTGGCTTGTTCGTTTGTTTGCTTGCTTGTTTCGTTGCTTGCTTGCTTTCGTTGCTTGCCTTTTGATTCCGTATCAAAGGTCCCAACCTGTCGCGGGCATTCGCGAATGCTGCCTAAGCCTGCTGGTTTGAGACCTCGGTATCTCGGGTTGACTCTGCCCAAGGAGGCTGAGCTTTGGCTCGGTGGAGCAGCTCTGGATTCGAACTCCTCCATCTGCCGCTCTTCTTGATGCACGGCGCTCCAATCTGAAGTCGCACCTTGCCTGTTTGGACAGCTTGGGCAGTCTCTGATCCAGGATAGGCCTCACGGTCAACTCCAGGACTAGCACAGGATGGAGACAGACCCACCACCATCAGTGCCGTCAATGCTGAGTTCCCACCTTGACAGCGAGTGAATCCCATCATTAACCCACCTTCCTCCGCTCTCTCCCACATGCCACCTCTCTCTTCGTTCGTTTACCTGGCATGCGATTCCAAGAGCTGACAGGTGGGTGAATGAGTGAGAAGAGAGGAAGAACGGGAAGGATGGATTTCTTGTCAGCCATTACCTTCCTCTTCCTCATGTCACCTTCATTCACATCCTAAAGTCGTTCATTTTGGTTACATTCTGCTATCCCTTCTATCTCCGTCATCCCAAGTCGGAGGATGCCCAGCACATCGATCCATCCGAGGAAGCCGGGTGCATCCGAAGACAGCTCGATTCCAGCGAAGACACCGTTGGGCTCGATTTATCCAAGCATGCCGTAGGGCACAATTCATCCACTGCATCCTGTTGATGCCATCAGCTCCAAGCCCGGGGTCTTTGGCGGGCTCCTGGCTAAGGTTTCCGCCACTCCTGGCCGGCCCACAGGCAGCGAAGTTGGCCTCATTGCCTTCAGCAACGCCTCATCGCGGGCCTTCTCTGACCGGAACGGGGCGAACGCTGCGGCGCAAAGGCGTCTGGCGTGCCGGCGGCCCCTTAGGTGGTGCTCCGCGAAACCGTTCTTCCCCCCGGTTTGCTCCCAATACGGCCTTACTGATATGAAATACGGATGCTGCTTCGATACAGGTGATGCCTCCTGGCTCACACAATGAGAGCGCGATCACTGCAATCGCACCACCTGTAGAGGTCGCAGAGGTTCCATCAGGTGAGGTGCACGTAAAAACACCGCATGTTGACATCATAATATGTTATACTAGTTTGAAAATAATACCATCGAGTGTATATAACGTATAACTTGTATGTGACGGTTGTATAACTCCCCGGCTCCCCCCAATTTTCCAAGTGGTTTGGTGCATATCCTGGAGGCAAATGCCTTCATCTCAGGTTCATGCGGGCCTTCTACACCACCTTCGACCTAAAGATGCTCGGCACATCGGCATGCCCCCGCCGAAACCGTTGAGTCTTCCAAACAGTATGTTGTGTATGAGCTGGGGTAGACTAGATGGGTGTGTGTGTGTGTGTGTGCGTGTTGTTCATAGTACCTCTTTTCAGGTTGGAAAGGGAAACCAAAGGACGCCCACCCGTTTGGGGGGTCCTACTTTGACCCAAGTATGGGACAGAGTGCGAACATATTCCGCTTGGAGCAGCCCTGATTTGGGCCAAGGTTTCCCAGCTATTTCAGCATGGCTGTTCATTCCGATTCATTCCGCTACCCCAAGAGTTGTTGTTGTTCTACCAGGGTCACTGGGCAACTCGGGTTGCCGCCATCCCGAAGAGGTGTCTTTTGTCTACCAGGGTCACGGCAACTGGGGAAACCCCCCGCAGCTCGCATCTTGGCCGCCGAATGCCCCATGCGACAGTCCCAGTAGTTGCCAAGCGCCATGTTCTTGGAAAGGGTTTGATTTTGGAATCTTCCACAACTTATGGTCGTTTTATGGCTGGTTGCAACACTGTTTGTATGCAAGCCACAGCACATCGCATGTTCTTCTCCACACCCCTGTTTCCATCTTTAGAAACACGCGCAGACACGCAAACAGAACAGGGGGACGGGCCCCTAGTGTTCAGATCTGCAGGGTCGGGGGCCATGCCCAATGACCAGCACCCGAAGCTCAATTTTGGCAGATGTTTCTACTACCCAATCTACTAGGGAGTAAAGTACGGCCCATATGAGCAACGGACAATACTACTGTTATGTAGTCTGTTCATGTGGATAGGACATGGGGGCCTTCCCTATATCCCGTATTTTCTTAGATGCTCTCAGCGAAAATGGCGGGCAGGCGGGCCTGCCCGATGGAAACTGCAGGTAATTTGGTTGTGGCTCAACAAACAATAAATGTGTTGGTGTAGAGCAGCATTTGGCGGCCCAGGAATGGCAGGATAGGCTTCGCCAGGAGCAACCTCTCGCCATTGCCGGCAGCCCAAGCCGGGTCTGGTCTTTCCAAGCGTTTTAAGGCCAGTTCCCAAACCACCGTATTTGGGGGTCTCTCCATGTTGACACGTACCTGCGTTGTCAAAAACAGGGTTCCTTTGCTCACTTCGTTCCGTCGCCGATTCAATATGCGACAGTCATAAAGTGGGCAGCCCACCCTTCGCTTTCGGAGTTCTTGTCTCCAATGTGGTGGCTGCAGCCAGAATCTGTCAGTTTGAGCTAGATGCAGCTTGGCCCCAAGGCACGCGCTCGCTCAGAGTATCTTCATTGCAAGTATATACTATTATAGATTGTTGTAATTACATATATACATTATATATATATATATATCATTGTACACATATGAACATGTATGCTATACATGCATATGATTTATATATATATGTATATATTAGAGATTACGTGGAATAGTGAGTGGACACGTACCTGAGTCCTAGAGTCATCGAAGTGTCACTTCAAATCAGTTGAGCTTCTGAGTCAACCCAGAATTGCGAATCTCCGGGCGTGTGCATACGGCCGAGGACTCCCTTTGCAGCGCAGATGGTTGACAGCATTTCTTAGAGGTTCTGACTGGTTGCGACCCATATAGTCATATAGTTATTCAAATTTTGAAAGCATCTTTGACACAATATGGGTGCAGGTCCAGAGTCCATGGACGGGGAATTCCTTTAGACATCCCCTTCGAATTGTGAACATCCAGAATCATCAACCAGAGAAGTCCACCAGAAGACTTGCTAACTGGGCCCTATGTGTTTGTTTGTCTTGTTTCCTAAAGGAAGCCACAATCGCATACATGTATAAATAAATAAATGCATGTATATATATATGTATTTATGTTTTTTGTTTTAATGATTTTCTTATATGTGTCTTTTCTTCTTCAGATTGTCCCAATAGTTCGAGACCATAGCACCCAGACACCTCCCGATGTCGGCCGGGCGCTTCAGGCCGGGCCAAGCCACTTGCTCCGCGGACACGCAGCCGGTGCTGCGGCGGAGCATCTGGGCCCCTCGGCGGTCGTTTGGGGCGAGCAGTGGCTTCCCATGGACTGGTGAAGTGGGAAACATTGTGGTGTAGTGGGAAACATTTGGGAAACATGGTTGTTGGGAAATCCCCACATGGTTGTTGTTGGGAAACATTTTACATCTTTGCTGATTGTGGTTTAGTGGTGGAAATCCAACCACTTCTGTTTTGCTTGTGGTGGTTTAGTGGTTGAAATCCAACCACTTCTGTTTTGATTATGGTCGTTTAGTGGTTGAAATCCAACCACTTGACTGCTAAAGTTTCAATGGTTGCTCCCCTTCCAATGTCAACCAAGATCGAATGGCTTGCAAGGGGGCAACCTTCCGTTCAGTTTCAACAGAGGGAGGTTGAAGTCCCCAAACCAACAGTCTGAACCAGTTTTGTTTTTTTCTTGGCGAATCCACTCAAGTGGTGCTGTACTGCCTTTTTTTCACAGGCCCCAAAAATGGTTGATTTTTCCTTTTGGTTGCCCAACAAAAACAAACCTTCAAAGGGACCCCCGACCCTCAAAAGCCCCCCCCCCCTCACCACACACAGGTGTCTTTTTTTGGTTCGGCTCGTGTTGAGGTTCGGTGCCCTTTTTGGTTCTAGGGAAGCCACCAAGGATCCCCTTTTTTTGGACCAGATCCAACGGAACCCAAGCTCCAACATCGGATCCGTGGATCCTTCGATCCGTCGGTCCGTCGGCTTGGCTCAGCTCCTGTCCGTGGCGGTGGCGGTGACCTCCGTGATCTTCGCCTTCTACGTCTTTTTCGTGCCAGGACACGGGGCCCATGGCCGATCCGCCGGTGGATGTTTTTTTTTGGGCGGGGGGTCCAGAAACCGGTGGAAGGACCGGAGAAGTGTTTGTCTCTTTGGGGAGTTTGAACTTTCTTTGTTGAAAGGCAACCCAAAGGAAACCACTTGTCTTATTTTGACGGATTCCCAGACTTCCTCCTGGCGGCTTGAAATTCGTCATCTGGACCCCAAGGTGAGCTTGTTTTAAGGATTTTAAGGGGAAACCTGAAAGCGGACAAACGCCGACCGTTGCAAAGTTCCCAGTTTTGCTCGAACCTGAAGGAAATGACCGACCAAACACCTGCGCACACTGCAAACACAAGATACTTTTTTCAGACACGATGCGTCTCGCATGAGTTGAGTTGAGCAACCCCCGGTTGAACCGCACGATGCTTGAAAAGGGTCTTGACCTTCCATACAATTCCACACGCTGACCGGCGGCCTAGTACGGAGGCAACTAGTCAGCATGATCTGCCAATTTCAATCGCTTCCGTTGGAGGCCAGGCGGGGCCCATAGAAACGGCTTTGCCTGGACTACAGACAATCCACGCCCTCCTTCGACCTGATAGTAGCGGACCTATGCGGCACCATCCAGCTGCCCTTGCAACTCGCCTTGATTCCGGTGCCCAGCCATGCAAAGCAACCTGCGCTGGCCGCTGGACGTGAGGAATCTCGTTCTCCAATCCCAACTCCAGTGGCTCAATCGAAGGCTCTCTCGCAGACGCCGGCTCTTGGGCATCTTGGGGCAGGGTCCAATCTCCAGGCACCCAGGAACCCAACCTGTCTCGCCGCATATCCATGCCTGCGTAGAGCTGGTTCACCAAACTAATCAATTTGACAGCTTGCGCCACAAACCTATACTATTTTTTTGTTTAGTCGGTTAGGCAAGCCATAGCAAAGGTCTCCCGGTACTTACAGCACGTGAACGCATTATATGCAACTTCACCTTTGCTGGATCGTGCTGCCAACAAAAGGAAACGCCCATCAGAATCACCAATGAAGGCCCTCTGCCATAAGAAGTGGTCACGTTGCTGCTCTTTGTACCTTAGCTGAACGGAGCAGTTTCCACGAAACACGAGGGTTTTTGGTGTCAATCTGCTGCTACAGTCTTAGTGGATTTTTCTCGAAATCGGGGGCCCCTCTGTGTGCTTTCCTTTCGGTTTCTCTTTTTCATCCAACATGGAGGGTTCCGATTTTCCCATTTTGGGTCACCAAACACCGGCAGGAACTAACTTGCCGGCGCCGAAGATGCAAGCGGCACCCACGAAGGCACAGGGACGAGTCTCTGAGCCATGTCCTATGTAAGGTTCGTAAGGGAAACGTCCCAGCCAACAATGCATCAATGTGTCCCAAAATAGTAAGGGATAGACTCATACACCCCAGATCGTGTTTTGTTCCTTTGGGTTTCCATTTAAGCTAGCATGGAACGTGCTTTCTGAAAAACATGCACACAAAGTCACACACCTGCTTGGTTGCTCTTCAAACTATGCAATAAGTATAGGACGGTGCCGTAGTGGAACCCAGAATGTGCGAGACCCAGTTGTAAACGAACCTTTTTTGAGATACCACCCCCTTTTTTATGGGTTCCATGTTGACCTGAGGGAGAGTTGCCGGTGTCGCTTTTTCTTTTTGTTTCTTTTCTTTTTCTTTTTTTGGGGGGTTGTTTGTTTGTTTCTTTCTTTCTTTGTTTGTTTGTTGTTTGTTTATTTGTTTGTTTGTTTGTGAGTTTGTGCGTTTGGTGCTTTGGCGTCGTGTTGTTTGTTGAATGTGTGTTTGTTTGCTTGCTGCACTTATGGATAGTTGTTCACACAATACTGGACCAGTGGAGACTCCCAGGAACGAGAAGCGACTTGGGGATAACCCAGCTGGGATTCCTTGGAACGAGCGCACTTGTGTTTTCAATAACATGGCTATGATTTTTAATGGGGAACCACCTCCAAAGTGGTTGGTGGATATAAATCACCACCGAAATGATGTTCACCAAAGGATCCCGGGTTGAAACTCACACTCACATGTTTGGCCATCGCCGTTTCTGAACGACGAGCATGTTTGGCAAGCGTTCCTTGAACGATGGCAAACAGAGTTGCATGGGGTGAGAATTTGCAAAATACCTTTAAGTGGATGCTGGTTTTTCGGACGGCAAGGACTACAAAAACCTTCACAACCATCTTGGTATGAAAGCTTAATCGGGTGTGGCGCGCTCAAGCGGTAGTGCGAGTGTTGCATGGCCAGGTGCAACAAGGCATATGAGCCCAAAGTTGGAGCGGCTCGTGGCGAAAGTCAGCGAAGTGACGGGCCTCAGTGCGGGGGGTTTCCTTTTTCCCATGGCCACTGGGGGTCGGGGTCGGGGGTCGGGGGGGAAGGGTTCCATGGATTTGCGGATGACGGTTCATTCCTTTTGGGTCTCGAGGCCACATGGAGATGTCCTCATGCCCGAGGTAAACGCAAACTATGTCCCTGGTCTGACACATGTCAAGGCCACCTCGAGAAAAAGCAAGGCAATTAGTTCGGGCGGTTGGCAAGGGGGTTAACAGTGGCAATATCGTGCTTCAGGTTTCCTTCAAAGTCTGGTCAAAATGTGTCAATGATTCGATGACTTGTTTTTTGTGTTTACTGACACCGAAATCTTTGAGCATGTCCCACAGTTCCACCTGACGGGGTTGGAGACACCTCACCTTGTGCCCGAGGCTCGGTCCCTAAGGCCCTCAAGCCGGCCGCACACGGGATGTAGATTTGTGGAATCCTAAGCCAAAAGCGACGACAGTGTTTTTTTTGAGAGTACCTTTTTAGGGTTGGTTTAAAGGGAAACCAATAGGAAACCAACCATTCTTAGGGGTCCTGTGTTTTGACCCACCCATATGTTTGCGGTCTTGGGAGCTTTCATGCCACTCGGGTATATCAACCGCATGTGGAGCTGTCATTTGGTTTTTGATGTTTGGTTGTTTTTAGGTGAGGTTACCCTGTTTGGGGTTGGCAAACAAAAAGGAACATTGTCTATTTTTAGCGTCTCCTTTTTCACTGCACCGCGCCAGTTTTCCTTCGTCCCACAGTTGCTCATGCCCACCAGAGCTATGCAGGAACAAACCATGCAACCGCTGAAATATGGCCATAGATTTTTATAGGGAGCGTCTTCAAATTGGTTGGTCTGCTAATGCTTTCCACCATGATGTCCGCAAACAATTCTGAACTTGTTTGAAAAGGACGTCGCGGGGGGACCTGACACATGGTTACCTACTGAGTTAGGGGACCTTGCTCATGATGAAGGGTCCTTAGTTGGTATCTCCTTATCCTAGGTGGAAGTGCGATTACCCTCCTGTCCACAAATATGGAAGCCATCAGACGGTCCGTTTACAACGAAGATTGTCTTGAAGCACGACTAATATGAGGGGCAAATACTTCATCTTGACCACGTCATGGCTCAATGGCCACTTTTGACCATTGCTATGGCCCATACCTCATTTGGCAGTTCAGACTTCAATCCTTGACTGCCCAGAGCGAATCGAGCTTTTCACCCCTTTGGTTTTCCCGAATGGTCTATATTTAGTCAGGTCCCAAGGGCCTAGCCTTGGAATTTCCGTTTTGGTCCTGACAAGTGAGTATGGCCATACTCCCAGAAGATTCGCCTCGCGCCTTTTTTTTTGGCGCGCAATTGCCCCGCCAGGTTCCTGGCTGGTCTCACCCGAATTGGAGCCAAACTCGCCGGTGATCCGTGATCGGAGGTGTTCGTCGTTTTGGTTGTCAGTACTTGAGATGCACCATAAATGATAAACATAAACACAAACTATGTGTGTGTGTGTGTTTATTCAAGGTACCGTTATGTGCATGGTGTTCCCGGTCCACGGGAGTGGGTGGGGCTGCATGGTTTGTTTCTAGCATCCATAGTCAGGCCGTGGGAAAGCTCACGCCTTTGCCGATCGCCGCGGTGAGGAAGCCGAACCATACTGTGAAGGGGGTCCAGAAGGTACCCTTTCAGTATCCCAGAAATCCCAGTTACCACTGTTGACTATACTAGGTAACCTGCCGCGTTCCTTGTGGTTTTCAAAGGCCAGTTCCTTTGCGTGCTTACTACAGCGGGACACGGATTTGTTGGGCAGAGGTAACAGGATGGGTATCTACATGGGGGTTACAATGCAACCGGTCAGGACGACACTGGTCAGACTTGTGCACGTGTAGCTCCGCGAATTCATGGCTTTCCTTTCCCGGCAGGCATGAGGTAATGCGCACTTGTTGCGCTGTGAAGACCAAAAGGCGCGAACCGAGTTCAGCCTTGCTTTCCGAGATGGGCTGCGTGTCAAATCTACATGGCTGGCAACACAACTGGGGTCTCCTCCAATATGGCTTGGTATTGTCAAAGTTGGCGTAAATATGAACTGTACTCCAGGGTTGTTCCCCAAGAGCTTCTCCAAAAACCTGATGAACCAATCTCAGCTAATTTTGAATCAGACTCCAACTTGGTTTCAAACGCCAATTTGGCTCATTCCGATCTCGAGCGTTGTGGTGGGAACCTATGGTGTTCTGGTTGTCTCTTGCGTTTGGCCAAGATAAGTTAGTGTAGATGAGTGCTTCTCCAGATGGATTTCGGACCCACGTTCGGTTGGGGTTCAAAGGGACACCAGAAGGAACACAACCATTTTTGGGGACCACTATCTTGGGTGTCACCCATATGATCTTGGGGACGTTATCTGAATCAGGGGCGCATATGACGGAATCAGGTGCCCTAATCAGGGGCGCGAATCAGGGCCACAGGGCGGTCGAATCAGGCGCAGGAGTTGGTCAAATCAGGGTCCGCTTCGGGTCAGTTTCAGGCAGGTGGCCCGCAGGTCGCCAAGCTTTGCCTAGCGAAGTTTTTTTGCTGGCAAAATGGCGTTCAGCCCAAACAAATGCCCGTTATAGCGCGGCTGTGTGCGCTGGGGCGGCCCGATGCTGGCGGAGCACACAGGTGGCACAAAGCTTTGCCCTGCAATACGTTGTGCTTGTGACGCGGCTTGCAGAGGCGAGCTTCGGTTGTGCGAGCTGGAGCGGCCCTGTGCTGGCCGGAGGCGTGCGAAAACCGCCTGCGGGGGCGAGATTCGTAACAACTTGCGCGCGGTCGGTTCATCGCGGTTGCGTGACTTTTTTATTAAAGGAGGTGCAACGTTACCGAAAACTGCTCGTTCGCGCACACAGCGCGGGCCACGCAGCTTTGCCCTGCGCAGTCTTGCGAAACTGCTTTGTAGGGGCAAGCTTTGTACGACAAACTGCTCGTCAGCGCGGCTGTGCGAGCTGAGGCGGCCCGGGGCTGGCCGCAGCACGCAGGTGCCCGCGGGCCACGCAGCTTTGCCCTGCGCTGCGCAGGTGGCCCGCGGGCCACGAAGCTTTGCCGCGCGCTGGCTGTTCCTTCTGAAACGGCTTGCAACAACTGCTTGTAGGCTGTGGAACGAGTTCGCGGGCGACCCACCAAATGTGGACGGGCTCGCCCGCCGTGCTGCAAAAAGTCAAGGCAGTCGATGATGACGGCCGCAAGTGAGAAGGTGGAATCCAGATTTGACGGGCGAGAATCGCACGACAAATTGCTCGCTAGCGCGGCTGTGCGAGCTGAGGCGGCCCGGGGCTGGCCGAAGCACGCAGGTGGCCCGCGGGCCACGAAGCTTTGCCCTAGCTGTCTTTCTCTTCCGACACGGCTTGCAGGGGCGAGCTTCGTGCAAAAAACTGTCCGCTAGTGCTTGTGCGACAGCTTTGCCCTGCTGTCTTGCGAAGCTGCTTGTATAGGGGCGAGCTTAGCTGAGGCGGCCCGGGGCTGGCCGAAGCATACAGGTGGCCCGCGGGCCACGAAGCTTTGCCCTGCGCAGTCTTTTTTTACCGCGGGCCACGCAGCTTGTGCGAGCTGAGGCACAACTGCTCATGTAGGCTGCTTGCATAGGGCGAGCTTAGCTGAGGCGGCCCGGGGCTGTGCGAAGCACGCAGGTGGCCCGCGGGCCACAAGCTCGTGCAAAAAACTGTCCGTTAGTGCTTGTGCGACAGCTTTGCCCTGCTGTCTTGCGAAGCTGCTTGTATAGGGGCGAGCTTAGCTGAGGCGGCCCGGGGCTGGCCGAAGCATACAGGCGGCCACGAAGCTTTGCCCTGCGCAGTCTTTTTCTACCGCAGGCCACGCAGCTTGTGCGAGCTTGCTTGTATAGGGGCGAGCTTAGCTGAGGCGGCCCGGGGCTGTGCGAAGCACGCAGGTGGCCCGCGGGCCACGAAGCTTTGCCCTGCGCTGTCTTTCTCTTGCGACACGGCTGGCAGGGGCGAGCTTCGTGCAAAAAACTGTCCGTTAGTGCTTGTGCGACAGCTTTGCCCTGCCGTCTTGCGAAGCTGCTTGTATAGGGGCGAGCTGAGCCGAGGCGGCCCGGGCTGGACGAAGCACGCAGGTGGCCTGCGGGCCACGAAGCTTTGCCCTGCGCTGTCTTTCTCTTCCGACACGGCTTGCAGGGGCGAGCTTCGTGCCAAAAACTGTCCGTTAGTGCTTGTGCGACAGCTTTGCCCTGCTGTCTTGCGAAGCTGCTTGTATAGGGGCGAGCTTAGCTGAGGCGGCCCGGGGCTGGCCGAAGCATGCAGGTGGCCCGCGGGCCACGAAGCTTTGCCCTGCGCAGTCTTTTTCTACCGCGGGCCACGCAGCTTGTGCGAGCTGAGGCACAACTGCTCATGTAGGCTGCTTGCATAGGGGCGAGCTTAGCTGAGGCGGCCCGGGGCTGTGCGAAGCACGCAGGTGGCCCGCGGGCCACGAAGCTTTGCCCTGCGCTGTCTTTCTCTTGCGACACGGCTTGCAGGGGCGAGCTTCGTGCAAAAAACTGTCCGTTAGTGCTTGTGCGACAGCTTTGCCCTGCTGTCTTGCGAAGCTGCTTGTATAGGGGCGAGCTTAGCTGAGGCGGCCCGGGGCTGGCCGAAGCACGCAGGTGGCCCGCGGGCCACGAAGCTTTGCCCTGCGCTGTCTTTCTCTTGCAACACGGCTTGCAGGGGCGAGCTTCGTGCAAAAAACTGTCCGTTAGTGCTTGTGCGACAGCTTTGCCCTGCTGTCTTGCGAAGCTGCTTGTATAGGGGCGAGCTTAGCTGAGGCGGCCCGGGGCTGGCCGAAGCATACAGGTGGCCCGCGGGCCACGAAGCTTTGCCCTGCGCAGTCTTTTTCTACCGCGGGCCACGCAGCTTGTGCGAGCGCTTGCTTGTATAGGGGCGAGCTTAGCTGAGGCGGCCCGGGGCTGTGCAAAGCACGCAGGTGGCCCGCGGGCCACGAAGCTTTGCCCTGCGCTGTCTTTCTCTTGCGACACGGCTTGCAGGGGCGAGCTTCGTGCAAAAAACTGTCCGTTAGTGCTTGTGCGACAGCTTTGCCCTGCTGTCTTGCGAAGCTGCTTGTATAGGGGCGAGCTTAGCTGAGGCGGCCCGGGGCTGGCCGAAGCACGCAGGTGGCCCGCGGGCCACATTGCCCTGCGCTGTCTTTCTCTTCCGACACGGCTTGCAGGGGCGAGCTTCGTGCAAAAAACTGTCCGTTAGTGCTTTGTGCGACAGCTTTGCCTTGCTGTCTTGCGAAGCTGCTTGTATAGGGGCGAGCTTAGCTGAGGCGGCCCGGGGCTGGCCGAAGCACCAGGTGGCCCGCGGGCCACAAAGCTTTGCCCTGCGGCCTACCGCGGGAACGCACTTGTGCGAGCTGAGGCACAACTGCTCATGTAGGCTGCTTGTTTAGGGGCGAGCTAGCTGAGGCGGCCCGGGCTGTGCGAAGCAGCAGGTGGCCCGCGGGCCACGAAGCTTTGCCTGCGCTGACTGCGACACGCTTGCAGGGGCGAGCTTCGTGCAAAAAACTGTCCGTTAGTGCTTGTGCGACAGCTTTGCCCTGCTGTCTTGCGAAGCTGCTTGTATAGGGGCGAGCTTAGCTGAGGCGGCCCGGGGCTGGCCGAAGCATACAGGTGGCCCGCGGGCCACGAAGCTTTGCCCTGCGCAGTCTTTACCGCGGGCCACGCAGCTTGTGCGAGCTGAGGCACAACTGCTCATATAGGCTGCCGCTGAGGCGGCCCGGGGCGGCCCGGGGCTGGCCGAAGCACGCAGGTGGCTGCGCTGTCTTTCTCTTCCGACACGGCTTGCAGGGGCGAGCTTCGTGCAAAAAACTGTCCGTTAGTGCTTGTGCGACAGCTTTGCCCTGCTGTCTTGCGAAGCTGCTTGTATAGGGGCGAGCTTAGCTGAGGCGGCCCGGGGCTGGCCGAAGCATACAGGTGGCCCGCGGGCCACGAAGCTTTGCCCTGCGCAGTCTTTTTCTACCGCGGGCCACGCAGCTTGTGCGAGCTGAGGCACAACTGCTCATGCAGGCTGCTTGTATAGGGGCGAGCTTAGCTGAGGCGGCCCGGGGCTGTGCGAAGCACGCAGGTGGCCCGCGGGCCACGAAGCTTTGCCCTGCGCTGTCTTTCTCTTGCGACACGGCTTGCAGGGGCGAGCTTCGTGCAAAAAACTGTCCGTTAGTGCTTGTGCGACAGCTTTGCCCTGCTGTCTTGCGAAGCTGCTTGTATAGGGGCGAGCTTAGCTGAGGCGGCCCGGGGCTGGCCGAAGCACGCAGGTGGCCCGCGGGCCACGAAGCTTTGCCCTGCGCTGTCTTTCTCTTGCGACACGGCTTGCAGGGGCGAGCTTCGTGCAAAAAACTGTCCGTTAGTGCTTGTGCGACAGCTTTGCCCTGCTGTCTTGCGAAGCTGCTTGTATAGGGGCGAGCTTAGCTGAGGCGGCCCGGGGCTGGCCGAAGCATACA